GCACCAGGATGGGGATAGTGGAGGGGATGGGGGCTCAGCATGATGGGGGGGGTGGGGAAAGCCCCTCCAGCAGTGCCCAGGGACTGGGATCCATCCTCAGTGTGTGCCAAAGGGATTTGGCTGCTCAGGGCACCAGGACCCCGTGTGGTGTGTACGTGTTCTCGTGTTTTCTGTGGAGGTCCAGTGCCTCGCGGTGTGGTTATGGCAAGAAGAAGGGAATAGGGCAGCCACGGTGCCTTCCCTGAGCATCTCATGGGCTGACGGAGGGGAGGACTATCCTGCGAGGCTGGGACTCTGCCTCTCCACACCCTGCTGCGCTCCTGCCTGCAGTCCAGACCCTGTCACGGGGTGCCACCAGGTCCCCTTGGAGCTTCATCACCCTGGCAGCGCTGCAGCACAGTGAGGAGCCCTGGTTTGGGGCTGCAGGTAAGGGGAAAGGCCATTTCCCCCACCCATGGTGTTTATTTTTCTGCTTTTTTAGAGGAAGCAGAGCCCGAGAAGGTCCCAGCAGGAGGATGATGGCACCCTGGGGGTGTTTGTGCTGGCAGGGCCTGGGGCACCCATGGGTGCTGTGCACTGTGCTGCTCAGGCAGGCAGGAGGACTGTGATGCCCGTGGGTTCCTGATGTGCCAGAGGGGCCGGCTACAAGCCCCCCGCAGTGGGACACATCCCAACACTGAGCCCTGCCCCGGTGGCTGCTGAGAAACTGGCCCTGGAGCCTCGGGGTGTCCCCTTGGCTGCTGAGGATGGGCAGACCTCATGACAGCAGTGGTGGAAGGGACTCACCATCCTCTGTCTCCGCTGGCGCCGGCGCAGGCGCATGAACTCCTTGTGCTGGCGGGAGACAAAGTTGACGGCCGCGTACTCCAGCAGGGCAGCAAAGACGAAGAGCAGGCACACGGCCATCCAGATGTCGATGGCCTTCACGTAGGAAACCTGCCAGGGCGAGAGGGGGCTCAGGGACCCACCGTCCCCCCCACCTTGGTCATCCCCCCACCACCACTGCCAGCTTCGCCCTGATGCCAAGGGGCACAGGAGCCCTCTCAGCTGGGACACACGGGCCAGAGCTCGCCGTGTTCCCCCTTGGTAGACATGGTGTCCCAGCTGGCTATGGATCCAATTACCAAGGGAAGGGTCCATCTGGAGGTGGCAGGGGACATCCCAGGTGTCCCTGGTGGGCTGAAATGGGGTCCCCGGCATGGAGCCAGCACTGACCTTGGGCAGGGAGGCACGGGAGCCGGCGCTCTGCGTGGTCATGGTGAGCACGGTGGTGATGCCCAAGCCCACCCGGGCGGGCGCCGCATCCATGTTGATCCAGAAGGAGACCCAGGAGAGGATGACGATGAGCAGGCTGGGGATATACATCTGGATCAGGTAGTAACCCATCTGCCTCTCCAGGTGGAACTTCACCTCGATGCAGGTGAACTTGCCTGTTGGCAAAGATGACCCCGATGGGTGAGAGGGACCCCCGGGTCATGGCGGGGAGGGTGGGGGTGGCAGTGGGTCCCTAGGGTGCTCACCTGTGTTGTAGTGCTTGGTGCAGTAGCCCAGGTCCTTCTCATCCCTGAGGATGAACTGAGGGAGCGTCAAGCCCTCTGCCACTTGCACAGCCTCCTGCTCCTCCAGCCACTCGAAGATGAGGTCATTCATGGTGTAGCCAACTGGAGGGGACGGAGGGAGCAGTGGGACAGGGGGACATGCACCCCATTAATCCCCACCCTGAATGATGGCTCCTTCCTGCTCACCTCCTTCAGAAGCAGGGAGATGCCAGCTTTGGAATGAGGTATCGGGATGGGATGGGATGAGGTGGGATGGGATGAGGTGGGATGGGATGAGGTGGGATGGAGGGGGACGAAGCACAGCTTGAACCCCCCTAGGTACTCACAGCTCTCCAGCTGCATGGTGCATGTCTGGATGTCCATGGGGAAGTTCTTGAGGTCCATGGGGCAGGACAGGATCAGCGTCAGCCTAAATGAAGCAGAGGAAAGGCGGGGGTTGCTGGGGGCTGGAGTGGTCGGGGGGAAAACTGCCCCATGGGAGGCAAGAGCAAAGCTTCTCCTCCCCACTTGGGCACTGCACCAGAGGAGAAGTGTTCTACCTGATGCTGTAGAGCACGTTGCCGTTCTTGAAGATGCGCAGCAGCTTGTTGTCGGTGGTGACCTCGTGGAAATTGGCCCCTTTCTCGTTGGCGAAGAACAAGTCCGGCTTCCAGATGGAGTCCAGCATGGAGGGGTCGAGGTCGAGGGAGTCGTCGGGGTACTCGCGGTAAGCCAGGCGGGGGTCGTTCCACTGCTGCCGCAGGAAGACGTTCACCCGGTAGTCCTGGGGCAGAGGGCACCACCTCAGCCGGGAGCACCCCACCGGTGCCCAGGGAGGAGGAGGAAGAGGAAGAGATGGAGGAGGAATGGTGCCCGGGGAGGAGGAGGAAGAGGAGGAAGAGATGGAGGAGGAGGTGGGAGGGAGTCTCTTGGTCAAGGCTCAGGTGCTGCCTGCCTGCCACTAGTGATGCACGGGGAAGGGGCAGCTCCTGCCCACGCTGTCAGCAGCCAGGGGAAATGAAAAAGCCAAAGCCAGGGCAGCCAAAAGGAGGAGAAGGAGGAGGAGCTGTTCCTCACAGTGTTCCTCACAGGGCTCTGTGGCCCTCTGGGGGGTTGATGTGACAGTTGAGGGTATTAAGGCTTTGCAGCAGCACAAATAGGGAATTTTTAGCTCTGGGGCTTCCTCACGCACCTAAGAAGGCTGGGGCTGGAGGGGACACAGAGCTGTGCTGAGCCCGTGAACAGCAGGGAACTACTGCTGCCTGCCCTGCTCCAACCCTTTGGGGTGTTTCTCCCAGGCACGGGGGGATGTGTTCCACACAGCCAAGCTCTGGTTAAATGACCCCAGAAAAGCCACAGCCATTTGCTGTGGCTCTGCACGTCCCCACTGTAGTGCCAGGGCTGGCTCTGGAGAAGGGCTCCCGGCCACCGGGACCCAGATGTTGTCCAGCAGAGCCACCACCAGCCCCGAGGCACTGGGAGAGGAGCCCGTTGCGCTGGCGAAACCCTCACCATGGTGGTCTCGGTGACGGAGCCGAAGCTGTTGATGAAGATGTTGCATGTCACGTTGACGGGTGGACCTGGAAAACAGCAGGAAGCCTCCTCTCGCCGCTGGCCGGGGAGACACAGGCACTGCACGGGCACACGGGGAGGGGGGCTGCCTCTGGCATGGGCTGTGTGGATGGACACACCCGAGCATCCCCCTGCCCCTGGGGTCACCCCCAGCACACCCTGGGAGCTTGCAGGGCAGCTGCCACCGCAGGAGCCGCCGGGACTCCGGGAAGAGTGTTGGGATGGAGGGAGATGTGGGTCAGGGTCCTGCCCCCTTCCCTGGTTTTGGGCAGCCATAAGTGTGGTCACTGCCAGGTTTGGGAGCCTCCTGTCCTCCCCTTACCTTTGAAGTTGGGGCGGATCCGGGCGTCATACCCTGAGGTTCGTCCCATGAGCTTGTCCAGGAAATCGGAGGGGGACATGGGCTGGGGCGAGCTTCGGGAAGCAGCTTTAATCTCCTCCCGCCCTGAGACCAGCCTGCAGGGCAGAGGAGCCAGGTTAGCTGCCTGCTGGCACTGAGGGTCTGCGGGCACATTTTGGCACCCCCTGGGATTGCCAGCTGCCAGGGGAAGTGGCCGTGTCCGTGCTGCATCCACTCTAGCATCCAAGGACCCCTGCCTCCCTCTGCCGTGATCCCAGCAGCTTCCCCCCTTGCCCACTGCAGCCCAAATGCCATGTTTCCATGCCATGCATTGCCTGTGCCCCTGCCAGCAGAGCCCCTGGCATGGCATTGGGGCCAGGTGATAGCCTCCTGCATGGCAGCCAGGCTCTGTCCTGGTGCCAGAGGGGGAAAGCAGGTCCCTCCTGGGTTCAGTCACCAACCCTGGCTTGAGTTGCTGAGAAAACATCTGTACCCTGCATGGCTGGAGGGTTTGGGGGCTGGAGGGACACACAACAACCCCTTCCAAGGTGTGAGCTGGCCTGGCGTGAGCGAGGAGGTGCCCAGGAGGGCACCAGCTGGGGTTGTGACACCTTCCCAGGGGCCGAGGTGATGTGGCAGGAGAGGAGCAGCAGAGCCCTCCTCTGCACCGGCCGTGGCACCGAGCTGAGCTGACACGAGCTCTCCCACGCAGCGCTCCTAACGATGATGGAGACTTATTTAAACTGACCTTGGAGGGGATGTTTTTGCAAACGCGTCTTAGCTCTGCCGGTTCCTCTCCTTCCGTCAGTCTATAATGATCATTTCAAGGAACAATGCGAGAGACGTTCGCTCACCACATTGTTGGGCATGTGGCTGTGATGGAGAGGAACTAGCTGGAGACCTCCGGACACAAAGGGAGCTTTGAGCAGGCTGCTGGTGCTGCTGCTCGCTGCCTCATAACTCCACCAGGTCCATGTCCCAGGTGGATCCCACTCCTGCTTGGAGCTACAACGCCGGTATCACAAGCAGAGGATGATGCTGGGAGCTGGGACCCCCTGGGGTCCTTGTTTCTACCTTCTCGTTCCTACCAACACACCTTCTTCCTATCTTCTCGTTCCTACCAACACACCTTCTTCCTACCTTCTCTCAGGGGAGTGGGATTCGCTCCTTGTTGGCTAAAATGGCCACAACGGCCACCCCAAAATGATCCAGCCGGATTTTCCCTTAATCAGAGACGGGCAGCAGAGAGCTCCTGAGACAGGTCCTGGCCGAGAGCAAAAGACTGGGAGAAATTCCCCACCCAGGAGCTGCATTGGAGAGGTGGGAGGAGGGCTGCAAGAGGCCAGGGTAACAAGGAGTTAAATCAGGCCTCTGCCTGCCACAGTAGCCCTGAACCATGTCCTCCTCTGATGCTGGGAAGGAGGATGAGGAGGATGAGGGTACTCCCCAAGGAGCTCCACAGCAGCCAGCTCCTCGGAGAGGCTCAGCTCCCTGGCTGGATCCGCAGCCCCGGTGATGCTCGGACCTTGGGGACCGCAGAGGGTGCAGAGAAGCCCTGGTGGTGTCACTGGCAAGGGCCACGCTGGCTCACAGCCCCTGGGGCCTGGCTCTTCTCAGGGTTTGGCCGCAGCAGGTCTCCAGTTTGGGCACTGCCTGCCCCAGGGGACTCTGCTGCTGAACTGGTCCAGGCACTGCGGGGCCCTGGAGCTCAGCGCCTCCCTGGAGCGAGGGGATGGTGGGGCTGGAAAATGCTCATTTCTGCCTAAAAATGCCACCCCCAGACAAGCAGTTTCTGCCTGTGATGACATTTGGACATGGTTTCCCCCGCTCCCCGCCACAAATGCTGCGGTTCCCCTCCACACTGCTCCAGCCATACTGGCCAAGTGATGGGAGGAGGAGTGGGGAGAGGGAGAGAGCTCAGCCCAGGGGTGCTGCAGCCCCCCCAAGCCCTCCCTGCCCTCCCCACCTTGTCCCAGATAGCACTCGAGGTGGTTGGAGAGGGGAAAAAGGGACCCAAGGGCTTTGGATTTTCCACCCAGGTGGGCCAAGTCTTCTTCCTGCACCCATGGGACCTGGGGTACCCACTGGTCTTGGTGACCCAGGGGGTGGGTCAGGGACTGTCCTGAGTCCCCCCCCAAACACCCCGACCCAGGAGAGGGTCTGGGCATCGCAGGGACTTTGCAGCACTGGAGAGAGAGCTACCTGGGGTATCACCTGGCTCAGCTCGCCCCTTTTCCCACCACAGCAAAGGTCCCCAGGTGGCCTGGGGCCAGAGGGACCCTCGGGGACCCAGCACTGGGGCAGGGGCTGCTGGGGACAGGCAGAGCCCGGGGGTGTGTGGCTGGGGCTGGAGGGGGAAGGGCTGGTGGGTCCCCAGGGTGCTGGGTGAGAGTCCCAGGGAATGGGGGAAGAGGCCAGATTTGGGGAGCTCCTGCAGCCGGTGAGAAGGTCTGGATC